CCACAAAATAGGCGATCAAGTTGAGGGCGATCCCCCACCAAATGGTCCCAAATATGTAACCGGAGAAGTTTTGCATGCGACGCAGGAAGCGGACGGAGTGGTAGATCTTCGGCAGGTACTGAAACAGAAACATTATTAAGAACACCGCCATCACTGCTGTCGTCGACCCCTCCCTTATCAGACCCGGTGCCGCTACCCACAGTATCACCTGCAATTAATTACCATTCACCTCAAACTTACTGCTTAATTACCCACCGTAAAAAAAGAATATCCCCTAAGATTTGACCTCAAGCTTAATTTCATCAATTAACTAACGATCATTCAAGCCAACGGTACCGCCCTCAAGAAATTAATGCTCCTAATCTACAACTTAATAATATATAAGGGGGCCGACAGGAAGGAAAAAAAACTATTCGTACGTAATTAAATTTTCACTACTTCTGCTTGTTGCGAAAGGAAAATGATTTAAGGACTCAAAATATGGGACCAAGGGAGGGGACAGGTGAGGTGTCCCCTTCCTATTGCATAATGACAATAGGGAGGGACACCTCACCTGTCCCCTCCCTTGGTCCCATATTTTGGGTTCCTGTAGCAACACTCGTTGCGAAATTAATGCCTCATGATGTGTTGTTTCAGCGATCTTACTGCGTACGTAATAAAGATGGACATCTTAATTAATCACAAGCTATATAGCTCTATTATTATATTCACGAAACCTTACATTAATTATACGCCGACAAAAACTAAGGATCTTATCTAATTAATTAACAATAAACAAATAATTGATCAATTAATAATGAATTTGTCGTGTGAAGAAACTAGCAACGAGACACACTAATAAAACAGAACTTCTACATGATCAGTTCAGTGAATCACTGGAAATTATACATGTTTAGAGGGGGAAAAAAAAAACGCACCTGCATGACTGGTAATATGACAAATAAATCGAGAAGCAAGCCCTTGCAAGACTTTGTGAATTTGTAACCCCTTGGCTCCTCCGCATCCTCCGAGTGCCTCCCGGTGACGATATTCCTCAACTTTGTCCACGCGTTCCACACGTGCAGCGCGTCGATCATGCACCGCAGCACTGTCACCGTCACCGTCGACGAACAGGCACGAGTCATGGGCTCTGCTTATGGACACGGCGATGTAGAGGAAGAAGCGGGTCGACTACGGCCGCCGCCGCGCACGTCAGCAGAATAGCCCGGTTCCATGCCTGGGGCCCACGCTCTTGACACGCGTCGGGCCGTTCGGTGCGCGGCCCTACCGTGTCCTCAGGTCCTCGTCGGGCGGTGGCGGAGGGTTTGCGAAGGAGAGACATCAATTAGCATGCGTATGTGCGATATCTCTCAATATATTCGGTGGAGGGAGGGAGCTGATCAGAGACGGCAAGAATGATGATTGTGTGTACATGGTATGGGTCCTGGTGATTGCTGGATTTACAAAATTGCCCTCTCCTTTGGCTGCATCCGAGATTAATCCTTTCGTTGTCTGGAAGGACTAGCTAGGAGCTAAAAAAAAGAAAAAGAAATGGGCCAAAAATCGTGATGAGCGCATCGGCCTAAAATAGTGCGGGGTGAGTACTTGAGTATTTGTTCACGACGTACTTGCTGAGTATACGTACGTACTCCTAACTTGTGGAGATTTTTCTTTTTCACCCATGAAAAAGTAAATTTTACGTTTATTTTTTTGTGAGACAAATTAAAATATCAAGTTCACGGCGAGTATAATCGTCCGAACTAAATTTACAATCACTAATCAGAAACTTTGAGCCTGCGTGCTCCGACGAGTGTGTATTAATTCTATACGTACATACATACCTATCCCCCAAATTAAGCTAGCATTGGGATGAGGAATATAAAAGGGAAGGGCATATTCGCGTCTGTGTGTACGTATATATGATGTGTACGTGGATCGCGAGCCGAGTAAGCTAGCTATCATCGCAAGCCAAAAAGATAAAAACGGCCAAAAACAAGACAATTTCCTCGCACTTTCCTCTTTTTTGTTGGCTACCCACCCACCGTATCAATAATTCTACCCTCTGCTCGATCATTTCGTGCCCGCGTGTCCTTTTAGCACATGTACGCGGCCGTAGGAAGCAGCTTTTCATTGCTAGTAAAAGCCAATTAATTAATTAACTCTCTTTTTTCCTTTTTTTTTTTTGTCCCTTCCTCTCTCTCTCTCCGGCCCGTACAGTACAGTAAATAATAAGTATATATGTCTCCCGACTTTAATTACCATCACCCGTCGCAGCTAGCTAGCTAGCATTTTGTAGTAAGTTAGTTTCAGTGCATGAGATAGCTTCATGAAATTAATTAAATTGTGACGATCACGCCTTGCCTCCCATTAGCTAGATACATCATATCACAATTCAGAACTAGCTAGTAGTCTTGTTCAGACAATTATTAATTGTATAATTTCTTTATCGTACGTACGTGCTGGTACATATATATCTTGTAGATGAACTGATCAAACCGATCGGCGTGTATAGAGAAATCCGGCCAGCTGCTAGCTAGGGGAGGGACAGCTCATCTCCGTTGGGCTTGGGAGAGGTCAGCAGAACAGCGTAGTGCAAAAAAAGGTCGATTTTGCTAAAATCCCCTATTTTTGCACGGGACTACTAGTCCCGTGCAAAAAAATCCCCAACTTCCTCCATCTTCTACTCCCTCTCCGCCCCTCCAACACGCCAGCTGGATCGCCATCGCGGCCCACGTGCGCCACCCAGGCGAGTAGTACCGGGCGCTCCTCTTCGCCTTGTCGTTCGTGAACACGTAGCGGAAGTGTTGAGTCACGTACTTCACGTCGCCGGCCTCCAGCCCGAAGGCCTCGGTTGTCTCGAGAGTGACCAGCGTGGATGACGACTGGGGCAAGCGCTCGATGAAAGGACGGCGAAGGCACCACGACAACAGCTCGTCGCCGCTGAAGTTGCCGGGGCCGAGCATGCAGCAGCTCTTGACGCCGTCGCGGAGGAGCTGGCTGCTCTGGAGGTGGCCTCTCACTATGAACAGCATCGCAGCAGCTCTTGACGCCGTCGCGGAGGAGCTGGCTGCTCTGGAGGTGGCCTCTCACTATGAACAGCATCCTGTGTACCGGGTCGCCTTCTCTAGTGATCTGATCGAATTTAATTAATTAATTAAACGAATAATGAATGAATTAGGTCGGTCGGTCGGTCGCGAAAATTAAGAAGGGAATTTAAGTGCTAACTAATTAGTTAATTAATTAAGCTGATCGAGAGCGCACGGAGCTCGATCGACTTACGGTTTCTCCCCTGGGAAAGATGAGGGACTTGACCCTGTCACATATGTTCTCTAGGACCAAGTCATCCATGTGCTGGAACAAGGGGACCTGCACATTTTTCAATAATATATATAAGCGCGAGCGACATTATTAATTGTTATTTATTTTATTCGCTCGATCCGATCCGATCCGATCGAGCGATTCATTCAATTAATATATCGCATGCGTGGGAGTACTACTACTGATGCAAACTAACACTGGCCGGACACGCACCTGGCGCACAAGATCGAGGCAGAGCTGGTACTTGATGTCCCTCCGGAGTCCATCGGGCAGCGAACGGATCATCTGGTACTCATCCACGCCCCTCATCGCTGCCCATCGCTGCCGCTCGAGGCAACCTCCTCCGCCGCATCCACCACTCCAAACTCCGCATTTTCAGATGGACCGATTGCTTCTTCGACGTCGTTGTGTGCAGGAACACCTTCGGCAATTAATTACGAGATCCCACGCATCAGTATGCGGTGTGCACGTACCGTTCAACGCCACACTAGATTGAAGGCACGGCGCAGTAAGTCTTACCTTGATGTTTCCGATCAACATTGTAACCAAAAGGAGGCCTATCGTAATGATAATGATATTGAAGACGATTTCGGACCAATTTGCTGAGCTCTCTAGCGCGCCTCCGAAGGTGCTGGAAAATTAATTAACCCACCGATATATAGGAGAATATATATATACATGTTCAGAATATTCTCTTATTACATAAAAAAGTATGCCTGTCATCTTGAATTGACCATCGACAATTCTAAACGTAATAATCAGCGCAAATTAAACATTCACCTTAGAGTCATTAAGCCCCATAGCAGAGGAAGAAGTATCTTCTCTAGCCGGCTTGTGTTGGTGAACAAAAGAACCGCCCACCTAAACGCGCCGTAATCGTACTGATTTCTACTGTCGAGGCACGTGGCCCTCGCACTCGCGTCCTTGGCCCAATCCAATCTCTCCTTACCCTCGACCGCTGTTGCTGTTCCGTAATATATTGGGCTAATGCATCCCACCATGGCGGGGCTGCACCCTGTGTTGGCCACGCATCGCTCGTTAAGGCACTTTGTTGCCCTCTGGATTCCCAGCAAGTACCAGCACCCACCTATTGCCTGTCCATGATCAACTAATTTGCATGATATATATTTTAGCAATTGTCAGGGTTTGAAAAGATTGAGCCTGTTTCTCAAGCTTAATCTTTTGATTGGTGAGGATAACATATATGCATGAAGCGTACGTATCATGTCGTTCCTAACATATGTGCACAGAAACAGAATACTAGCTACTACTCTTTTTTCTTCGAGTGGTGCCGCTAATTTATACCCGAGATCTACCCTATCCGGGTAACATGATCTGGTATATATTGTCTGCTAATTAGGGTTGAAAAATAAATAAAATGAAAATATTAATGTTTGTAGAATTTGTTGGATTACTGACATGAGAAGCAACCAGGTAGGCAATGAAGTTGAGGGCAATCCCCCACCAAATAGTCCCAAATATGTAGCCGGATACGTTCTGCATCCTGCGCAAGAAACAAATCGAATGGTAGATCTTGGGCACGTACTGGAACAGGAAGACGATCAGGAATACATTCATGGCCATCATCGTCTCTCCTTTTCTTATCAATGCTGGAACTGCTATCCACAACGCAACCTGTAACATCTTCTTAGATGTTAGCATTGGTATTCAGCGCAACCTGCAGTCACTTTATAGATCCTTACCTGAGGTGCAGGGAGAATCACAAAGAGATCGAAGAAAAAGCCCTTCTTCGACATCAAGTAATCAACTGTTGCAGCACGAACACTTGCCTTAGCATCCGTCCCTCTCTCCTCCTCGGCTACTGATACTGAATTACAACGTCTCATATTGTATGCAGTCTTGATCCTCATCCACATGCTCCACAAGTGCACTGTATCTGTCATGCATCGAAGCAGCGTCACACTCAGCGCGAACCACCCATCAACAAAGAGGCACATCTGAGGGCCGCTGATAGACAGCGCGTAGAAGAAGAGAGGGTCGACTAGGAGACCTGCAGCGCTGACTAAAAGAAATGCACGATTCAATTCTTGCACCCACTTAGACTGAGGACCAATTAGACCACCTCCACCATGAGATCGGATTCCCCTCCTTGAAGTTGCAACATCGGTCAAGCCACTAGGGTGCTTTGGTGCATGTGAACTCCCCTCATCATCGGACCATCCATTGTTGATATGGATGTAGGAAGGGTATGTGGAGTCTGCCATGCCCAGGGCAATTGAAGCTGACATGAGGAAGTTCAGTCGGAGTTATTTTCAGTAAAAGAATCGAGAGCCTGATGTTGGACATTATTGGTAAGAACATGAGAATGTATGATGAGGGTGATGGCATCCTAAGGAGACACTCTAAAGATGCTGTTGTAAGTGCATTTGGTACTCTGATGTCCTTATTTAGGGAATGGACAAGTGCTGCCTTGCCTCTAATTTTGAAATGGCATGAGTTACATGACAAAAAAAAAAAAAAGTTGAACGCATAGATACTTCTCAGCAATGAATTTTTTGTTTGTTAATTACATATGTAACCGTGCAAGCATCAAAAGAGTATTCTATGAACTGCCATACTATACATATGAAAGGAATGGCAGTAATCTTCATTTTTCAGGAAATTTCCCAAAACAATACATATTCTGCAAAATGACAAATAGGGTGTACGACTTGCAGAAACAGCTCTCTTTCTGTCAGCTGATCATCATCATCTATTCACTCCTTCACTTCGATCTCTTCATCCCCCTTTCGAAGAGACTTTAATTTAGACACCATGACTGAGAAGGGGGAGGAAAACTCTCAAATGGAGGATCAGCTCAAGCATCAGATATTCGTTTCCTAGAGGTTAAAGATTCCTACTGTAATCTAGCACTGAGTTCTGAGAGAATTATTATATCAAACATAACTTCCTCCTGATAAAACATTTGTTGCTATTTTAGTTGGCCCAACAGCTTTTGTTGCTGGCTCATTTGCTACCAGGCCCAGTTCCCCTTGATATTTGTTTCAGCCTATACCTAAATGTTTCACCTCCTACCCGATGGTACTCACCCCCCTTTTCCATACCTGTGTCCGGTCGGCTGCCGCTGCGAGTCCCATCTCTGATCCCTGTAGGTCGGCTCCTACCATTCGTATCATTAGCCTTCTCTCCGTGTCGGCTGCCCCCTTCACTATTTAAGTCAAGGGGATGGTAGTAGCTCGGAGAGAGAGCAGGAGGAGCGATGGCGGTGAGAAGAAATTTGAGCTTTGTGCTCTCCTCTGATTTGTGCGATCCCCCTCTCTTTTTGTGAACTTTGTGCTCCTGTGAGCTTTGTGCTCTCACCCTTTGTGCGACCCCTTCAACCTCTGAGAGAGTGATTCCTCTTTTGTGTCTTGGTGGTGCACTGCGAGAGAGAACAAGAACTGAATAGAAGCAGGCTTCTAAGCCAAACAGCGACATTGATTCTCTACAGTGGTATCAGAGCCTCGTTGAGTCGTCACCGTTCCCGCCCCCTCTCGTTTCTGGCCCTTGCCGTCGATCTTCTGTCTGAAACCCTAACCTTAGTTTCAGTTCTCTTGTCTGAAACCCTAACATGTTGAGGCGCTCTCGTCTCATCTCGACGCTTCCGCCGCGTTGCTCGATGCCATCACTGCCGAAGTCGACCGCCTCTCCCAACACCACCGGACCGCCGCGTGGGTAAGGTTAAAACTCTCTCCCTAGAGTTTCGCTCAGGTATATTGACTGAAAACCCAACTCTTCAGTTATCTAGTTGCTGGAAAATTATTTCCTGTTTTTTGTTTTTTGCTCGTGCCAGTTGCTGTGATACCCTTGCTTATTTCTCCTGTGTGAAGTATATCTGCTGCTAATAATTATGGTATGGTTCAATATGGTATGGTTCCGTTCCGTTCAACAGAAAATCTGATTTTAGCATTTGGAAACAAAAAATAAAATGTATTTTAATTCAACAGAAGTCATTTAGGGCTGTTGATCAGACCTATTTGACTTCTGACACTGAAGAAAAGAGAGCTAAAATGAACGAAAATGCTTGTTCCATAATTTATTTGAACTTATCTGACTCTGTGCTTAGAAAAGTTTGAATTTTAGAATCTGCTAAAACCCTTTGGGATAAACTTGAAGAACTCTATACTGAAACCTCTTTGCCCAGTAAAATGTTTTCGCTTGAAAAAAAATTCAAATTTAGATTGGATATATCTAAGGACATTGAGGAGAACCTAGATGTTTTTACAAAACTTATTTCAGATATTAAGTTAACTGGTGATAAACATATAGACGACTATACTCCTATTGCCCTTCTAAATGTTATTCCTGACTCATATAGTGATGTAAAATCTGCTATTAAATATGGTAGAGATGAGGTTACCTTGACATTGTGATCAATGGTCTTAAGAGTAAGGAATTAGATTTAAAACATTCTGGGGGAAATAAAAATTCTGGTGAGGTTATGCATGTGAGGGGTAGGCCTCAGAATAGGTCTAATAACCAAAAGAATACTAGTAATGGGGAATCAAGTAAGAAAAAAATTAAAAATGGAAGGGGTAGATCTAAGTCCAGGTTTAAAGTTAAAAAATGCTATAATTGTCATGAAACTGGTCACTTTATTAGAGATTGTTCTAAGCCTAAGAAAAATCAGCAAAATGATCATGCTAATATGGCTGTCTGTGAGGGGAAAATGGGTGAAATTTCCATGATTAATAATCTGTGTGATTATGCATATTTGAACTCTGTGTTATCTGATCCTTTGTGTAAATCAGATTGGTTGGTAGACTCTGGTTGTACTTTTCATATGACTCCTTTTAAAAACTTGTTTTCAAACTACAAGAAAATAGAGAATGGCTTTGTGTCAATGGAAAATAAAAAAAATACAATATTTTAGGATCTGGTGATGTATGCATTAGATTTTCTTCTGGTTCTGTGTTTACTTTGAAGGATGTTAGGCATGTTCCTGATTTACGTTATAACTTGATTTCTTGTGCATATCTAGAAAATGATGGTTTAGAGGGAAAATGGGGTAAATGGGTTATGAAAATTATGAAAGGGTTGATTGTTATTTTTTACTGCTGAAAAACAAAATAACTTGTATGTTTGTCATGCTGAACCAATACTTGATTCTGTTAACTCTGTGATAGGTGATAAATCTGTTTTATGGCATAATAGATTAGGTCACATGAGTAATAAAGGATTAGAAATTTTGCATAAAGGAGGTCACTTTGATAGTGATAAAATATCCCACATCCCTTACTGTGAATCTTGTGTGTTAGGAAAACAACATAGGGTTAGTTTTCCTACTTCTTCCTTTTCTAATCAGTCTAAGTGCACTAATGTACTTGAATATTTGCATGCTGATGTATGGGGTCCCTATAGTGTGCCTACGCATGGAGGGAACCAATATTTTCTTTTCATAATTGATGATTATTCTAGGAAAGTTTGGGTTTTACTCATGAAACAAAAATCTGAAGTTTTTGATAAATTTAAAAACTGAAAAATTATGATTGAAAACCAAACGGGAAAGAAAATTAAAACTCTTCGGACAGACAATGGTCTTGAGTTTTGTAACAAACAATTGAATGATTTGTGTACTACTTGGGGTATTAAAAGGCATAAATCTGTTCCCTATACACCCCAGCAGAATGAGATTGCTGAAAGGATGAATAGAACTCTCTTAGAGAGGGTGAGGGCTATGTTGGCCACATCTGGGCTCTCCAAGAAGTTCTGAGGAGAAGTTGTTTGTACTGTGGCCTATTTGATTAATAGATCTCCTTCTGTTCCCTTAGGAGGGAAATGCCCTGAACTTGTGTTCACGGGCAAGCCTCTTGATTTAAATAATTTGAGAATTTCCGGGAGTGCTGGCTATGTGCATCAAAAGATTGATAAGTTAGAACCTATATCTAAGAAATGTGTTTTCTTAGGATATCCTGAAGGGGTAAAAGGTTATAGGCTTTGGAATAAGAGTGAACCGGGGTTTAAGATAGTGATAAGCAGAGATGTTGTTTTTAATAAAAATGAATTTCCTTGTTTACCTTTATATGTTCCTATTCCTAAAGATGATGCTCCAAATGAGGTGGAGCAAATGCATATTATTAATCAACCCAAATCACTTCCTGAAGAAAAATTAAATGATATAATTATTGAAAATCAAGATGAGATTATTCCTAATAAGGTGGAGCATGATATGCAGGAAATAGATAACATGCATGATTTGAATGATTATCAACTCACTAGGGATAGAAATAAAAGAACCATTAGGAAACCTGAAAGATATAGAGATTGTAATTTGATTGATTATAATATGTCTGAGTTTGCCTTTAATGTGTTTGAATTCCTTGAGTGCAATGAACCTAAGACTTATAGAGAAGCATTAAGGTCAAAATATTCTGAAGAATGGATTAGTGCTATGAACAGCGAGATGGAATCCCTAAGAATTAACAAAACATGGAAACTTGTTCCTAAACCCGCTAGTTGTTCTGTAGTGAACTGTAAGTGACTATTTAAGGTGAAACAAGAATCTGAAAGTGTTAGGTTTAAGGCTAGGTTAGTAGCTAAGGAATTTACTCAAAAGGAGGGAATTGATTATGCTGAAATTTTTCCTCCTGTTGTCAAATTCACTATTGTTAGAATTATGCTTGCTTTAGTTGCTAATTTTAATTGGGAACTAAAACAAATGGATGTAACTACTACTTTCTTGCATGGTGATCTTGATAAAAAAATTTTGTATGCACCAACCTGAGGGCTTTGTGGACCCTAAATTATCTGATCATGTGTGTTTGTTAAAAAAGGCTTTGTATGGTTTAAAACAATCACCTAGGCAATGGAATATTAGATTTGATAAATGCCTGTAATCTTTAAAGTTTAAAAGGAGTTCTGCTGATCATTGCCTGTATTATAAGAATATAGACTATGTGCCTGTATTTCTTGTAATTTATGTGGATGACATGTTGATTGTTAGTCCTTGTTTGAAGTCTATTGAGCATGTTCAAAAATATCTTTGTGAAAATTTTGACATGAAAGACTAAGGTGATGCTAAAAGAATCCTAGGCATGAATATTATTAGGGACAAAAACAAATCAACTCTAGTTTTAAACCAAAGTTCATATGTTGAAAATTTTTTGAGTAAATTCTCTATGTCTGATGCCAAATCTGTGAATGTGCCTCTTGCTTCCCATTTTGTGTTAAGTAAGGATCAGTCCCCCAAGACTGAAACTGAAATAAATGATATGAAGAAGGTGCCATATTCGAATGTTATAGGATCGGTCATGTATCTCATGGTTAGTACTAGGCCTGACATTGCATATGCGGTTAGTTGTTTGAGTAGATACATGTCAAACCTGGTATGCCTCATTGGAATGCCTTGAAATGGCTTTTAAGATATTTGAAATTCTCTGTCAATGTAGGATTAACCTTCTCTAAGTGTTCTGAATGTGTTAAACGTGTTGGCTATGTAGATTCCAATTATGCAAATGATAGAGATAATAGAAAACCTACTACTTCCTATGTGTTTACTTTGTGTGGCTCTTGCATAAGTTGAAAATCTCAACTACAACCCATTGTTGCTTTATCTACTACTGAATCTGAGTATGTTGCTACCACTAAAGCTTTTAAAGAAGCTATTTGGCTTAGGGGCCTTATATCTGAAATTGGTTTTCTTGATAAAAATATGGTTGTATTTTTTGATAGTCAATCTGCTATTCAACTTTGCAAAAATCATGTTTTTCATGATAGAACTAAACATATTGATGTTAGATTTTATTACATCCGAGATATAGTTAAAAATGGTATTGTCAAGTTAGAGAAAATTCCCTCAGAATTTTATCCTGCTGACATGGGTACTAAGTGTTTGCCTGCTGAAAAATTTATATTGTGTCAAAGAATCTTGAATTTTAACTTTGGGTAATTTTTTCTTTGCTTTGTGTGTTGACTTTGTGGCCTATTAGCTTGCTTTGTGCTTGTTAGTAGCTTTGTGATTTTTTCCCTTTGAACTCGATGACCGTTTGGTAGAGTTCGGTCCTTTGTGGACTTGGTATGCTTTGTGATTTTACCCCGATCTTTGTGATTTGAGTTTACTTTGTGTATTCTCTCCCATTGCTTGTATCTTTTTTGTGATCATACAGGTAATGGTTTGGCGATGATGAGTCCTGCAGTTCCGTGTTTTTTCTCTGTGCACTACCTTGGGCCAAAGGTGGAGATCGTTGCTATTTTTGTTGCCCAACAGCTTTTGTTGCTGGCCCATTTGCTACCAGGCCCAGTTCCCCTTGATATTTGTTTCAGCCTATACCTAAATGTTTCACCTCCTACCCGATGGTACTCACCCCATTTCCCATATCTGTGTCTGGTCGGCTGTCGCTGCGAGTCCCATCTCTGATCCCTGTAGGTCGGCTCCTACCATTCGTATCCTTAGCCTTCTCTCTGTGTCGGCTGCCCCCATTCACTATTTAAGTCAAGGAGATGGTAGTAGCTCGGAGAGAGAGAGCAGGAGGAGCGACGACGGTGAGAATAAATTTGAGCTTTGTGCTCTCCTCTGATTTGTGCGATTCTCCTCTCTCTCTCTCTGTGAGCTTTGAGCTCCTGTGAGCTTTGTGTTCTCACCCTTTGTGAGTCCCCTTCAACCACTGAGAGGGTGATTCCCCTTTTGTGTCTTGGTGGTGCACTGCGAGAGAGAACAGGAACTAAATAGAAGCAGGCTTCTGAGCCAAACAACGACATCGATTCTCTACGACATTAATTCGACAGAGCACCCCAGACACATAATTGTTACTTGTTAGCCCCTCTCCCTCTCCCGTAGATGGTAGATTCCATATCATTGATTAACAAATTGATAGAAAACCAAGCACATACTTGCGTTGTAACAATGCAGCATATCAGGGATTCGATTTATCCTATACTCAAAAATTTGCAGCATACTACATCTGTAAGCAAAATTGACAAATAACGTTGCCTTCAAAAATTGACTCGGTTCAAGCTCAAAAAATTGAAACAATAATTGCGGTTTTTACAGAAACATGAAAGGCAACAAATGCTTGTGGGCTGATCCAACCGTGATTAGCTTCTTAGATGCTGGCTCACATGCGACTCGAGTCCCTCCCAAATATGAATCTTCTCATCCAGTCAGATACAACGAGGAACCTTGTGCGCCAACTAACTTGCTTGCTGTGTGGGATAAGGAAAAATTATTATGATCTGACGTAAGACGATTATTGGAATTACAATTGCCAAATGTTTATCATAATAGAAGGAATATCCCACAGAAATTAGTTAGCTTGTAGTATATAGTTGCAAAAGTGAAGAAAGGAAAGCACATTACCTTGCGTATACTGAATACCAAAGCCACTGACTGCTATGGCCTATAGAAATCCAATCTCCTGGAAGTTGTGCAGCTGTTTGCTCTCCACCCAGGGGAGCAAATTGGCCCAGATGCCTATACCTTCATTTAAGTTGAAGGAAATGTATAAGCAAATCTGGTTATATGTAAGAGGAATGAGAAGGTCCTACGTTAAGAATTCAGGGGAAACCGAGAACGATAGAATTGGCACCTGAAAGGGCGAAACCGATGACGTCCCGTTTCTCTAATACGAGGAGGACCTTCAGGATTTTCATCGCGTTCCTTCATCTTGTTAAAGCACTGTGCAAGGTAAGTTCCTTGCTGTGCAGCAACCTGATGCATCATTTAACACGGAAAAAGCATGGAGAAATTATCAACTTATGATATATACTGTGCAATTGAAATCTTTAGACAGACAGTTATTCAGTCCAGTAGCATCAAATAATCATTATCATAAAATCACCTGAGCTGTTGGAGGAAGCATCTTGACTTGTGAATCGACATTAGAAAGAGCTTTCTTAAGGCGCTCAATGTCAAGTTCAATAGATTCTGTACCAGGATTGGAATCTGAATCCTTTAACAGATCTGAAACATCCTTCATGTGCTTGCTCTTAAGATAGAGTTCCAGCTGAGGGTATCTTTCAAAGATATCATCAAACACAACTTTGAGTTCTTTAACTGTTAATTTTCCAGAATTCTTTCTGTCTGCTTTCTGAAATATTGCAGAGACATCTTCCTGGAAACACATACCAGCAAGAAGTGAGCAAATACTAATTAATGAACTGCTGCAGAGGTACCGTCTTGGGATCGTACATACTAACATTTTAGGACAAAAAATACCAGGAAAATGAAAACATTGACATTATTAGTTGTGCCTTATGCTAGATTTCTAGACCTGCACATCCAATAGTCTTTGCACGAAGCATAAGCATCAAGCTAAAGCGATAAAGAGATGGTAATCTCCAACATTTGGTCTAATTTATTTTCAATGCGTGAGTCTAAGCACATCTATCTATATGGCTACTTTGGTTAAGAAAAACCTCTGTTGAGATGTCGGTTAACAAAGAATATCGATCTGGGAGGCTCTTAATTCTTATACTGAAAGATTATTTCCTATGTTAGAAAGACAATCATACGTTCGAGACAAGTAGTTTGCATATACGATTTGTAGTTAGCTCCTATATCAAGAACTAAGCCTCCGCTCTTGCAGTAACAGATGTAAAGCTATAAATGAAAATATATATGTACGTCAACATATAACAATGACAGTCCATATAGCCATTATATATATTAACTAAAGTTTAATTTTGCATACCAAGACTTTTCGTTGGTTTATAGTTCCACAATCACCAAGTGCGTACACATCATTGCATCCAAGTACTCTAAGCCATTCATCAGTTGCCAGTACACGCCTACCAGCCTGAACACAAGGAAAGACACGGTAATTAGAGAAGGCAGCAACATTTAATTAAGTTGCACCAACCGAGAAATAATTCACAGTAAATAAACTGCAGCCGTTGTTCGAATGGAATGACCTGGCCAATTTCTTTCATGAAGTCCAATATAATAGGACGGGTGCCGATGCCAGCAGACCAGACAGCCATGCCATAAGGCACTGAAATTTCTCCTGTTGATGGATTCGTCATAGTGATAGCCTTATCAGACACCTTGACAACTTTAAAGTTTGTTTTCACATCAATGCCATCCCTTTGGAATTTGTCTTCAGCGAATTCAGTAATCCTCTTGTCAAACCTAGAAGACATATATATAAAGGAAATTAATTTAGCACATTAAGACAACAAGTAATCCTCTTGCCAGACCTAGGCAACAGACCATAAATTAAGGATATCAGGAGGTTAAGACAAGAAATTAATCCTCGAGTCAAACTTAAGACACGGAGGATGCTAAGAGTTAGGACAACGTGGGAATGAGGGAAGAAATTAACTGTAGACCTACAACCATGCATGATAACGAGAAAAATATATAATCTGGAAACTATACAGTTTAAACCATGATATGATACTGCAGAATATTCTTCATTATAATCTGATCACGTTGGGGAGATTGCAATTTTTCTTTGGAGAGAAAATTGGAAATTAAGATATCCTCCAGGGTATTATTATAGTAAAGAATTTAAAAAAAAAAAAGAGATCTGAGTTGATAACAGTATTGAAGATCAGATGATTCCACGCAAAGCACTTACATGGTCAATATATGTCCACCGGCCTCAATCAATGATATTTTCACTAGATCTTGAATATTAGGATACAACTTGGCCAAATCTTCGGTAACAAAATCATGGAGTTCAGCTGCAAATTCTACACCAGTTGGGCCTCCGCCAATAACAATGAAATGTAGGGTCTTCCTCCTCTCTTCTTCATTAAGATTAGGAAGAGCTGCCTTCTGAATTCTCTGAGCATCCTCTATTTCCTGCACAAAGATATGTAGAATTTGCTGAGGCGTTATCGATTGATAGGGAATGGGATGGCACAGCTAACCATTATACCATCAATTAGCGTGTGATCTATTCATATATATGTGACATAAATAGTTAACCCAATGCCATTAAAACACCATCTATATTCTATCACCGACAAATTTATTATCTGCCTAATTAGCTAAAACTGAAACTGCACCTTTAGAAAATGACAATTCTCCGCCACACCAGGTGTGTTGAACGTATTTGGCCTAGCTCCAACCGCAATCACCAGGTAGTCATATTCTACTTCAAATTCACCGGTGCCATCTAAGTTTGTACCTACATTAGATCGACAGTGGACCTTCTTGCTTTTTGCATCAATCTTAAAACATTCAGCTTCCCAGAATTTGATGTCACCTTTCTTCTGGAAAAAACAACAATATAAAATCCGTTAAATTCATACGAAAACAGAATCTCACTGAAAAGTATACTTAATGTCACAACATATTCAGCAGCCCTTGTGCGGTCATTAAGAAGAAGACTACTCTAACTGTCTAGCAACTATTTGATTTTGCATGTACTATATATACGTATCAAAATTTGGCAATGGCCATATTACTGCAAAACATCACACACTTATATTAATACCATGTCTCCTATCAACTTGGCTTGACAGCACCATCATGTAGCCTTATTACTAGCTTGTTACTCATTGATATCTTCTTATTTTTCTCTAGATGAAGAGTACATCAAGTTTATGGATAAAAAGTAAAAAAAGTACCTTTCTAATGATGTTACGGATTGGTTCAGCGATGCTACGTGGTTCCACCGTTCCACATGTTACACTTGGTAACAAAGGGGTAAATGCAAAATAGTTACGAGGTGATACCACTTGTACATCATACAAGGAACTATCTACAGTTTTCAGGAAACTCATTCCAGCCCAACCAGTTCCGAGAACCACCACCTTCTTCTTGGTGGGTACTTGAGATGATTCATACCCATCTGACTTGGAATCAGCATATGCCACAAGTCCTCCACCGCTGCAAAGGAGAATACAAGACCTGTATATAGGGTGAGGTTCTAATAAAAACCTCCTTAGCCTAAAAACTAAAAGCCTATTTATTACACTAAATGCCATTAAAGAGTGTAATAAATGTCATTATTATACTGAATGCAATAAATAGGGGCAACAAACGAATCCAGATTTACTGGATTGAGTGAATCCAGTTTCACCTCACATAACTGAATCTGGATTCACTGATTCACTGCAGTAAATCTCGATTCACTCATATATAAGGTGAGGATTTCCAGTTGAAAAAACAAAGACACGTATGAGTGAATCTCGATTCACTGCAGTGAATCCAGATTCAGTTATGTGAAGTGTTTGTTTTTTGAAGAATAATAACATTTATTACAGTGAATCCAGATTAAGTTATGTGAGGTGTTTGTTTTTTGAAGAATAATGGCATTTATTGCACTCTTTAATGGCAGACAAATTTATTGCACTCTTTAATAATGGCATTAATTGCCATCACTGAATCTGGATTCACTGCAATATAAGCTCTAATCTCAACCATTGGATGAGATAGATCCAATGACCCACCAAGAGGTATAGCTAGGTTACTTTCGGTCTTAATTTTCATCCTTTTTCACTAAGGCTACATTAGTTTTACAACTCTTGTGCCTCGCCGGATTAGAAATATCCTAAACGTTTAAATACATCATGTTGAAGTCCAGATATATCTGTGATTTTTAAGTAAGGGATGTCAAAGAGGGTTAGGCATGATGTACTAAGACATGGAGCAAAAAGAGGATATTCCAGTTTGACCAAGGATATTCTTAATTTTAAGGCATTTACATGAATAACTTTTTTAAAGAGGGCATGTCTAACTTGTTGGTATGTATTTATTGAATGAGAATTTTTTTTTTTTTTTTGAAAAATTAATTGACAGGCCGTCTCCCTCCACAGACAACGGAAACCTTCTCTCCTAATAGTGATAGCATCATTCAAAACTCAATGACTTCTTGTATTTTCTCAGACAAAAAGGAAGAAAAAAAGTTATTGCCTTCCCTGCCGCAAAAGAAAACTTACCTTGAAATCTCCTTTTTAAGTGTTTATTTTTTGCTCAACCATTTAGTTCAACATTAATATTCATATAACAACCTCTTAGAAAATTACTATAGCTCGCTTCCAACTTAAAAGTAATTTCTAACCAGTACGTACTAAAAAAAAAGTTACTCTAATTCTCAGACAAATTAATATGAGAGGCGCCAAGCACTTTGATTCAAAATTAACCATTCTTTTGGCGAAGTATTCTATTTCTGAAATGCTACATTTTATAATAATAAAAAAATTGAATATCATTGGCAATGTGTCGCTTAGAAAAGGAGTTTTACTTATTAATTAGGTATAAAAAAAACACTCATATATATATATATATATATAGGTGCCTACAGTACTCATGTAACCGCAAGCAAAAAAGCTGCTAAGAAAATCTAAAACGAGCCCTTACACACTTTAAACTCATTAACAAAGGTAATTAACGTACTAAGGAAATTAAATCTATGTACGCCGAAGCAAACAATCCCCCCCCCCCCCCCCCCAAGAAAAATAATAATAAGGAATCATGGCGTCAGCATGAGTTAGGGTTTGATCAAAGTACTACCAATCGAAGTAGAGGAAGAGAAAGAGGAAAGATATATAACCTGACGGCGAAAACCACGACGAGCTTCGTGAACGTAGGATCCTTGAGAGCTCTCGAAGCCCGATCCAAGAAGAAAGCGCCGAATCGCATATCGTTAGTTAATTCTTTTTCCAGCCGAAATTTTTTATTTTTTTGGTGTTTAAAATAAAAAGGACGTCGTCAATATATCTATATATATAGAAAACAAAATAAATTGTTAAAGAGTAGAGGGAGGGAGGGAGTTTTAATAGGAGGAGCGACATCGACGGGGGAGTATAAATAGGAACACGCGTCTTATAGAAACCCTACAGGGGCCCCGCTGTCTAAGGCGATCCATGCCATATATGCATCGGCGATTCGGCGGACTCCTTACTTCTATATATTCACCCTCCTAATTATTATTATTATTTTTTTTTTTTTGGAGATACACGCGTTACGGGGGCCCACCCAGCCCCGGGGATCTTCTCACCTACACTTTTTTACACCCTAGCTACGTACGATGATTTGTTTTCATCGCATGAGCGGCTTCTTCTATTTTTGGAATTTAATGATGTTGCTGTTATGTGACCATGAATATTCACCTTTATATTTATGTGGCTTTTATTATGGGGTAGGTGCCCCGAATATGCTTTTTCCTTGATATGTCATGTCTTCTCGCAATGACTACAAATCAATTATGTATGCTTTCCCTGGATCATCCTTCTTCTTTTCCTTCTTAGGTTGGGAACCACTAGACTCACCTCCAGTTTGCTTGGCATCTCTCTTCGTCTCGTTGCTCTTCTCCTGCTTGCTTTCAATGGCAATAGCCTTCATGCTTGCCTCCGCAATCGACTCTACCGTGAATACATTCATCTCCTTCCAGATGTATTCGTTCAGCCCCGCCATATACTTCATGAAAATAGAGTACTCCTCCGTTGCAATATTGAGGATCATCGCCGCCATACACTTCATGAAAATAGAGTACTCCTCCGTTGCAATATTGAGGATCATCGCCTGCTGCTGAAACTCTATAGTGTATTCTTGAACGGTTTGATTGAATCTTTGACGCAAGTTATACCAATTGTACCAACGCTCTTTAAGAAATCCCACATGGTAGAACTACTTTCTCAGTAGCTCCTTGAACCTGTTCTACAACACCGATTTCTTCTCCTGTTTACAGTAGGATTTTCACCACATCAATGTGTGTCCGAAAAGCTTCAATGTCGCAAAAACAATCTTCTAGTTTTTCTAGTACTCCCTCTTTTAAAGGGTAGATGATATTGTGTGTATATATATACATATACATATATTGAATGACATGAATACTTTGGGCTACTTAGTATATAAGTATATATAAATATAAGTATATTCTCTCTTATATATGTTTATATCTCTTATATAATTATATATATGTATAAGTATGCTCTCTCTTATATATGTGTACAGTGTATACTCTCTCTTATATATATATTTATACTCTCTCTCTCTCTCTTAGTATATAAGTATACTTGTATATACACATATATTATACATATATAAGTATATTTATATATACTAGTATAGTGCATGTGCGTTGCACATGGGCATAATTATTATTTTTTAAAATAAATAAATTTCAATTAATTATTCAATTAATGAGAGTCTCTTACATAAAATATATAGAATAAATAAGTTTTAGTGTCGATTGTGCGTTCTTTTGAAGTCATATAAATCAACTTGTATTTTCACAAAGAACCTCATATTGGTACAAAATAAGAGGTTTATGTTTGCTTGAAATATTAGTCTAGAATTTAAAGTTTGGTCCTATAGAATAGAGCATATTAAAATTATATGGATTAAAGTCTACTAAAGTCAAGGTTAGATTTCATCGAGATAATAATAAATTTTAATTAAAATATCTGTACACCATTTTTCTACATTCTGTCTCTAGTAACCACTTATAATTTGCAAAACTCCTAGATAAATAATATCATTACAATAATAAAAATATTATATATAATATAAAATACTCTCTATATTTTAATAATTCTTTCCTTTTCTTCTAACAAAAGAGATTCTAAGCAAAGAAATATAAACTTTTTTAAATTTAATATAGCTAATATTCTTTATGAAAATATGTGTATAATATCATACACAACGTGATTCCCTAACATAAAACCATATACTTGATCATATGTTGTAATTTTAATTTTGAAAATAAATTAATGAGATATATTCTTTTTCAACAATAAAAACTTGAATTGCGCAAACATCCTTCACTGTAAAATTAACCATATGCAAGCCCTTTGATAATCGCTATATCTTTTAAAACTCCATAATTTTTTAAAGAAGAATATAGAACTTCATACTGCTAAGCTAGATTTATAGACGATACACATGAATTTAATTCACAAAAATCACTCATCATAAATCTAGTAGAACGATGTAGTTTATCTAATAAAACAAATAAATAATAGTGAGCAAAATGTAAAAGAGGTTCGTGCAAATTACCACAAGGAGGAAAAAAATTTACTAACCTTAAATTTTCTTGTGAATGAGACTAAAGAACTTCAGAATCCATTTGCAATTGAAGGAATCTAAGATTTTTTTAACTTTCCACATGTGAACCACCTACAAAGCAAAAGAGAAAAATAACAAAGCATTAATTAATCTTGATACCATATCAGGGTCGGAATGAGAATAAAATTTTGATTGCTAAATGCTCATGGCTAGAATGGGAAGAAAAACAAACTAATCTAATAAATATTGTTGCATGAGAAGCCCCTCGATCTTTTCTAAGCTATTCTTCCCCCTTCCTTGTACCGATCCAATCTTAAGTCAAATCCTCGAGGTGTCTTATCATCTGTGTTGAAGACGATAATGGAATGATGAGTGTCTCATCAAGATGAAGTTCGTAGTTTGATTTCAAAAGGAGACTATCTTCAAGACGTGAGCGTGAGGTTCATTGACTTGAGGTTATGAAGAAGAGGTTTACCTCTTAATTAGTTATTATTATTATTACATACAAGCTAAACGGTTACGTAGCAGTTAAAAGGTCGAACGTTATGAATTAAAGTTTGCCAACCCACTTGGCTTTCCCCATATTCAAGCCCAACAGCTTGTTCTCTAAATACTCACTAAACCACATAAAAGCAAAGCTAATAGAAAACTATAAAGATTATTTATTATTTATAACATATATATTGCATGGAAGTTATAAAGTTGCTTGCCTATTAGCTAAATATAATAACATGACCACATAAAAGGCATAGCTATTCTAACATATTAATAGCTAATTATAAAGATCATTTATATGTGCATGTAAGTTACAAAGCCAGTAATCTGATCTCTTACATATTAATTATTGGATCAATTAGAGAGGGGTGAGACGTTAGACTTAGAAAGTGATTATGGGATTAATTAATTGGAAGTTTTTTGGATTGCATGTTGCTGTCAATAATCAATAATTAATTAATGGAAAAATATGAATAATGATGATAATAATGTGTGTATATGTGTTTATGTATGTATGTATGTGTTTTATTATACATATATAAGTATATTTATATATATATACACATATATAAACATAAACTTATATGTACATATATAAGTATATTTATATAATAGTATAAATACATATAAGAGTATAAATATATATTTATATATCTATACATATATATAAACATAAACATATATGTACATATATAATTATATTTATATAAGAGTATAAATATATATATACTATTATATAAATATAATTTTTATGTTTTATTATTTTTTGAAAATTTAAAAAAATAAAAAAATCCGACCCGGCCCGGAGCCCGGACCGGGCCCGGATTTCCGGGCCGGGCCGGATGGACAGGCCTATCTTGAACCCATCACCATTTCTTTGATTCAATCTACCTTTTTTTAATTTGGGCTTCAACTTAAAGAGGACATAATGATGAATATTCAAGAAATTTAGAGTAAACTAAGGTGAAATTGAAAAGGAGAAACTTTGATTTAAGCCCTAACATAACTTCTTGACCTAATTTTGAATGAAATTAAGAGCGAGGAGCACGTGCTTTTCACATGCTTTAACTAACCTTAATCACCAAAAAAATACCCTTCAATGTACTCCGCGTCAGCAATCCGCATGGATTTACCGCATGTGTCTGACTTTTGGGTCTACTAGGTTTTATGCACGTATAATGCATGTGATTATATACTATGATTAAGTGTTTTTCATTTATTTCTTTACTAAAATTTGATCATCAGTTCTACTTTGTTTATTTTTGCTCACTTATGTCTTTAAACTTTAGTATTATGATTATTTATTTTCTTTAATGTTTGTTTTAATGAGTTACACTAAATTTAAAATTTCCACGTTTTAATTGAATTGACAAGAAATAAATATAATCTAAAGCTAATTTGAATTTGCACGTTATTTGGATCGACATGAAGTCAAGCTTGATTTGAGAAGGTATAATGCTGTAAAAGTGAAAAACACTTGAAAAAATAAAATTATAAAAAAAATAAAAATAAGTAAAACCAATAACACAATATGATTAACTAAAAGTAGGCTAGAATAAAACTAAATAGAATATAAATATTATTGCTAATCATTGACAGACTTTAAAAAATCATAAAATAAAGGTTAATGCTAACTGTAGTACACTTTTACATGACAAAAGCATCCACATATCCATATAAAAATATTAAAGGAGTTTATGATAAAAGCATCCACATATTCATATAAAAAAATATTAAAAGAGTTCATGAAAATTCCTTCTAAAAATTCCTGATTTTACGCAAAAAATTAAGCTATTCTATAAATAAATTAATAATTTAAATGTGTGTTATATTTATAAAGAGCCTTGATGGAGATACTTTTATTTTGGCACCTTATTCTGAATGAGCCATGCATATTAGCTTTAAAATATAATATTTTTTTACAGTGTTATATAGATGTTTACTTGCTTTACTTATCATCCTATTATTTCTTTAATAAGTTATATATTTGAATTGATATATATTATTAACAAAATTTACAATGACATGAATATCTTTCCTACAAATTTGAGAATGATAAATGTGAATTTTATGTTTAGTGGTCTTTAATAAGAATTTTAGTTGTAAAATATGTTACCTTTATTTTTAAAGATCTTTAAATCTGACAGTACTATTACATACTTAACTTTTATTGCGTC